AGGAAATTACTTTTGATTGTTTAATATATCATTGAATATGCTTAATATTTTAATAACAGAGTTGATTAGAATTCTGTGCATATTTTAGAAAATTTAATATCGGTTAAGTATTAGAAGATACTTAAGTCTTGATTCGTCAGATATAACAAGTAAGTATTAAAACGATACTTAAGTGATATCTTGTATTGTAGGACATTTAAATTGAATACAATTGCGAAAACAATACGACAAAGAGACGAAGACGTAATTTATAAGAAAACGTATTATTCATTTACTGCTTAAAGCAAAAAAAAAAAGAAGACAATGTTTCCTGACATATTTCAACGTGCAATAATACAGATAATTCACTTAGATGTTTCTTATTTTAGGTGATACTTACTAGATCATATTACTCAATATATTTTACCTATTGTGTGGCAATCAATTACGGATATAATTAATTACGAGTTTGAATGTTTGTAACAGACAAATTGTTAATTGATTCAAGTATTTTAACAAAACAAGAAAAAAGAGAATTCGTGTAATATAATGCAACAAGAAGTTACTCAACTACTCTCATTTCAAGTGATATAGATGTCTTAGATAAATAGTGATTCGCGCAGATTCTATGTACGAGAGGCGTGGTAGTGCATTACAATTAAAAATACAAAGAAGAGTTGAAACGACTACTTATGGTAGTAAAACTTTGAATTTTTCGAGCAAAATGTATAGTAATGCTTGTATTGAACACTAGATGTTTCTGTAGTTACATAACCAGTATTTACGGTAACACATACAGTTTTTGACAGAAATATTATAGGGGGTGTAACCGAAATTACGAGGGCTGTTTCAGCAGCCGGTCGTAAAGTGTTATTGCACAAAGACGAGCATAATATATATATGCTCCTGAAAAACATTTTGCTTACAACTTTTTGAGCTATGCACTGTTCATTGCTGGTGTAATTGAAAAAACTGTTCGACAAAATTTACTTACACGAACGTGTCTCTATTTAAAAAAATTGCAGATTTTTGCCTTGTATAAAAAAAAATAAGAATTCTTAATATATTTTTACTAGCGATAGTGATTTATGTCTCGATGAATTACGTTAAGCTGTTCGGGAATTAAATTTTAAAGTCTAGTTACGATTTAAAAGTGTTATCGTAGGGTGATAATGGATATAATGTGGGGCTTTTATTATCAGAGTGTCCAAGTATTGGGATATTTAAATCGAAATTGTATAAGTATCAGAATACTTAGATATTCAGATTTAAATTGAGAGTGCAGTCGAGTACTCGAATCTAAGTTGCATCCCATTAATTCAGGCAACGGTAAAAGCCCTGATACAATCGTTGAACGTTCTCGATATTACTTTCAAAAAGTTTTAAGCAAAGTAAATGACATAAGATTTATGCGTTACTTCTTGAGAGTACACGCACAAGGTGTGTTCCATTTCTACTCTATTAATATTTAAGACCAATTGCATTGTTGGAGACAATGTTCGTTTGAGTGCGTTGCAAATCTGCCAGACTATGAATTCTTCTTTAGCGGTTCGACATAGAAAAACTACTCGTTACTCGTTATGGTAGAAATATACATTCCATTTCGTTGACATGTGTACACAAATCTCAAGAAGTAAAACGAGGTAGTATAAGTTTGCCCTCTTATCATTATCCTTTAATAGGTTTGTGTTCTGCATCGATGACATTTATTAACCTAATCGAAGGAATTTGTATAACGTTAGACTGCATTCTGTTTTAGCTCATAGTTTATGTGATCAATGTACTTGTATAATAGAATCCATTGTGTTGTCCTTTATCATCATATTGACTCGAGGCTTAGACAATTTTACTATTAAGTAGATCTGTTGGAACCTATTTTGTAATTTTAACTGCAAATGTATACTTGAAATATGGAACCTACATATAAATGTGCATAATTTGTGATCCATACTATTTAACATTGTTAAAGTCGTACATTTTTAATTGCTTTTTTTATAATCTAGTCACGTAGATCAAAATATGTTAAATTCCGATTAAATATTATTAAATTCCTTCTGTGTATCGCTGGTGCTTTTATTTTCTCTTCCTATAAACAATTTTAATGTTTAAAGTCGAATCTGTTATTCAATTTTCAAACAAACGGCGCGCATCGAAATACCGTTTTCCGCCACCTAGGGACATAAATAGCCAATTAAATGAGTTAACAGGTTCATCGTTTCGCCGTAGATGACACTACAGATCGTTTAAAGCACTGCTCCTAAAAGTTATATATGTACACATAATCAGAAATTCAGGAAAATTGAACAGAAAATTTAAAAATCATAATCTCCGGGGAATGCTATGATATCGTTTAAAAATCGAGAGGACCGAACATATAGAACATAGTATGAGAAAAAGAGCTTTCTCGTGTATCGGCGACTCTCGTGCCATTAGAGGTGGGGCGTAGAACTATTTTGACCGTGGGTGTACGTCATGTCAACCATAATCGTGCGTCGACGCATGCGCAACGGGGAGCTGCGCCTTTGCAGTCTGTGGTCGTCGTCGTCAGTCAGTCGTACGGACGCGCGATTCACGTTTGACGCGTAGTTTCGGATGCGTGGCTCGAGCGAAATCGACGACGGTTGTACGTTTCACGGTGATACTGGCCGACGGAGGCAACTCCATCGCGTATGCGTTCGATTATTGGTGTCTGGTGGTGGTGACGGTTTCTGGTAAGGTCGCGGTGGCACGTTTCGCTATGTCGCAAGTGCTTTGGCCGCGAGAGGCGCAGTGACGACTCGTCCGTGAGCCTGCCGACATCCTCGACGGCCTTACGATGGAGTCTATCAGAAAATGGTTCTACAGGCCTAAGGTGAGCGCCAGCAAATTCACTAGAACCATGTCCCCGATTCGGCCGTCGCCGATCTCCGGTGCGCCCGGTTCCCGTCGTTTTCCTTCCCCTGCTTTCTTTTGTCGCGTTCCTCGTCGTGTGGCTTTTAGCTGATCGAACGCGTGCGCTCGTTCTTTTTTCCCCGTCTCCCCCGTTACCGTCTCCCGTCGGACCTGCGCGCTGTTGCCACCTGTTTCGTGAAAATTCGCACGGTTACCCTGAAGTGCTTGGGGCGACGTGTGTTACACCTGCGTGATATGTACATACGTGCGCACGTATGCACGCTTCATTGATAGGCACACGGGCTTCGTCGGCTCGGCCTTGTTTACTACGGAATGTTTCCTCGCTTTTCATCAACTTATCGCCGCAGTCTGGCACAAAGAAATCTTCTCGAAATTGCAAGTAACGCTCTCGGTGTGTGCAGCACACTCTGCGCGTAACTGAATCAGCTGATACGTAATAGAACCATCGGCGGTTTCCGAGCCTCCGGCACATTGCAACGCTCTGTTCTCGCAGATTAGCCTCGATTTAGGGATATTTCGGACTGTCATAAAAGCATTGTGCTGTATGAAACATCGGTAAAACCTACGAAAGATGAAAATGTAATTGCTTCCACGTACCGTTTCTATCGGGACTTTCGGTTGTATGCATTAAAATCCTAGTAAATGCTTGTTAACTATCGAGTATAAATAAAAGCAAACAATGGATTTAGTGCTAGATAATAAATATTGGAGAATTTTAAGTTACTAGTATTTACTTGGTTGTTCATGTATTTTCTTCGTTTTACTAGAGATCAAAGTAACAATACTCATGAAAGAAGACACCCGATGCGTTCACCATGGTTCTCTATGGTCGCATAAAAATTTGCTACATAAATCGGTGATTCTGGAACATCGACTCCCGCTTAATTTTTAATTATCACCATAAAATTATCGATCATCGAACTCATGTAACTTTGCGTGAAACGATAAAAAAAAAACTTTGTCTGTGCTCACTTGAAAGAGTGACGTCTACACTTCCACGCCCTTGAACTTAGCTTTCTCAAAGATCCTATCCTGCCGTGAAAATTACACGACAGAGGAATATTGCTTTTTGTTTTTCGAAATTAGACAAGTTCAAGAGCGAATTGATTAAGTTTTTTTCACGATTTAATTCTGCGCGACCGTACAGAAGAAACGTTAGTTTTAATCACAACTGTGTGGCTTCAACGATAATATAATATGTGTCTTGAATTTTCTGTTGATGTAATCGTTATCATGCTAACATGTGTACACTTTGAAGTTTCTATACAATATTCTTATGTTTTTGAAAATTAATCCAGCCTTGGTGTTCAGCACAGATTTTGCAACTTCAGTTATTGTTCAGCTAACTGTACCTCGGCGAATAACATTCTCACCAACGCCTACTCGAAATCCGGAATCATACTTCCATTTCCTCCGTCCGTGAAAGGCCTCGGTCTTGTCCATATTTCTCAAAAGTCCTTTTTCCTCGAAGCATGACAGAACGCGACATTCTCCAGGATTATATATTGGGTTGGCAACTAAGTAATTGCCGATTTGTTCAATGAAATACAAAATTTTCTTTACTTGGAATGAAGTTTAATCTGCAATGTATTTTCCATTTTGTTCAATGACCTTTTGCCATTTCTCTGACAACTTGAAAATTCCACGCTCGTAGAAAGTCTGATTCTTTTCGGCCAAAAACTGAGCTCAGTGAGATTTTACAGTGTCATCATCATTAAAAGTTTTACCACGAAGGGAGTTGTTCAGGGATCGAAATAAGTGGTAGTCCGATAGCGCGAGATCAGGACTATATGGTGGGTGTAACATCAATTCCCAACCAATATCCATCAATTTTTGCCGAGTGAACAAAGACGTGTGCGGCCTAGCATTGTCCTGGTGGAAAATGACACCTTTACGATTGGCCAATTCTGGTCGCTTTTCCTTGACCGCTGCATTCAATTTGTCCAGTTGCTAACATTCACGGATAATAAAAAATAACATAATAATAATAATAATAATAATTTTATAATGTAACATTTACGTATATCATAAAAATGGGAGTGAGAGACATCTATAACTGAAATCGGCAATTACTTAATTGCCAACCCAATAGTTTCCTCGAGTATTGTCAATTTTGGGAGACCGAATTTACGTGGACAACGCCCTAATTACGACCGAGGTGTAATTAAGATACGCGACTAGCAGGTTTATAATAACAGTAGTACTTACTCGATCTTCATAGTAAATATTGCACGCTCTGCATACGTGTTTGAAGTAGTACCAGAGAAAATTCGATAACAATTCTAGAACACAAATACTTCATGTTTCATGCGTATCGAGTATTTATTTAGAAAATCGCTGGTAAATGCTTGCACATATGCGTTCGCACGGCGCATTGTCTAGCGCAGTTGAATATTTTCGAAGATATACGATCTTATTCAAAATTGCCTTCGATTATGAGGTAACAAAGTGTACGATACGCTTCGTGAAAATGATTTTTAATTGCGCGTTCATTTCACCGGAAAGGTCAGGCGATGACTATTCCCGAACTTGTTTTCTATTTACAAAGGTACTTTCTCTTTCATTACCGGTGACCTACATCTAAAGTTACAGGATTCTGGATACCGTGACGGCCTAACCTCGATCCCCTCGTGCAATGGGGGATTCCTAGACGAAAAATTCCTCCGCGAAAAGCGGGGATATGCAATTACACATTTTGTAACGGAACACAGTTTTTTCATTGTCCAGGAGAAGGGAACACGTATCGGCCGTTAATTAATGCGCGGTGCGTTTCTGTCGTGTAGAATATTTGTCGTGTTGCTGCCGGCGATTCGTCGCACGTATCAGGAAAAGATTTTCTGTCGGTGCGTTCGTCGGAACATTTGTCGTCGGTGTTCCCGATGGCACGCCGCCGCTTGTGAAAACGCGAAGGCAAAATAGACATTCCATCTGTTCCCGATGGCGCTTTTGCTTCCTCATTGCTTCCACCGGCGTGTCTCGTGGTTGCTTTATGAGTCGGGAAATGATGCAGCGCGGTGAATCGAATTGCTCGGTCTTCCCACCGAACCGATTCCAAACGATTAGTATCTAATGACACGACTGGCGTTTTTTTTTTTCGTGTACACGCACACGGCGGCGCAAACACGATCTGTAGATCGTTCCAGCGGACATGTTCGGCGGTTCACGATCACCAAGTTTTTAAAATGATTCTTTAATACGTAACATCGAATACGATGCNTACATACCTGCATAACTATGAATCATTATCTTATTATATTTATATATAACCGAATAAATAATAAATAAATAGTATAATTATATATATATATATATATATATATATATAATTAATATAATATATATATATATATATATATATATATATATATATATAATAATATAATATAATAATAATAATATTATAATAATATAACAAAATATCCAAAAAAAATTATCATTATAAATTAATGTTGAATTTATATCGATCGAATCAATAATAATTGAAACGAAATATATATATCAATTATTATTGATTCGATCGATATAAATTCAGCATTAATTTGTAATTAATAATTTTCGATATTTTGTTACTCATTGCATAAACCACTTTGTAATTATCTCTGTTTTATATCACTCTTTTTATATTTTTTTGCTTCNGACGATATAATTTAAACCTCTTGTTTTAATTGTTTCACATTGTTTAATTTATAGTATTCAAGAAAACGATCTATCATGATCATTTTACGATTTATGATATGAATATGAGATGTAAGTAC